AAAAAAAAAAAAATATATATATAAAGTTTATTCGTTCTAAGTTTATATCAAGGAGTTATTGAGCAAAATTTGTAGTACGTAATTTCTGTTTTGAAATATACTTCTAATTAAATCGCACCTGTCTCTTATACACATCTAGATGTGTATAAGAGACAGCATATATTCTATCTATTAATTAACCGGGAAAAAAAAAAAAAACATATACATACGTAAAAAAAAGGTTAAAAAATAAAGGGGAATTATATACATTCTCAATGTCCTTCATACTATAAAACATATAAAATTCTTAAATATATATATATAAAAACTAAAACTAATAAAATAATCAATTATCAATCGAAATTCTCGCGTAAATAATAATATATTCGTTGATTCGTCTTCATCGTCGTTTTTATTCGTCGTTTTTTCTGAAATTTATTTGCTGTTCGAATATGTTGTCATCAAAATTGATGCTAATCTCGGCATACCACAAAATTCGTTAGTTATTTCGGTATATTCTTCCAAATCACTTTGTAATTCTTGACAAATCATGAAAATATCCCTATTATCATTTATCATAACGCTTGAAGTATCGCGAAAAGGAATAAAAGGCGGTGGATTCCCGAGTTCTAATTGAGGAATGATATTATCGAGAATGTCGCATAACGCAATATCTAAAGTTTCACGTATAATTGGGTTTGGTATCGTTTTAATATTTTGACATGAACAGACAGCTTTGAGCATCCATCTGAGATACTTTCTTGTTTCGGTTGAAACGCTTTGTGCGTCTTCGAACGTTTTCAATTTCAATTTTAAACAATATAAATTTCGTGCTATGTTTTGGATATTTGGTCCGTGAGATCTATTAAGTGGGAATGGATTTGGAATATCCCAAGGTACCCACATCGTATAATTTTCTTGACTCCAATATCCCATAATTTATATTTTTTTATAAAAAAGAAAGTAAGAGACGATTTCGCTCGAAATAATTTTTTTTTTTTATAATATATATATATCTATATATATATTTTTTTTTTATTTATCTATATTTAATTAATTTTCGAAGAGAACAACAGAAAAAAGATAAAAAAAGTTGGATATACTTTTGATTGTAATTTTAGTTTGAATTTATATTTTTTTTTTTTCGATTACATCATATCCTTAAAAGGAAGGTATTTCATGTATTATGTGTAACGTTCTAGTTTATTCCATTCTCTTTAAAAACTGAGTCATCTTTTTACGACTGTATAATTTACACGGATTTTTTTTTAAAAAAAAATATTGATTTTTTTATTTCCTAATTTCCCATCAAAAGGAAAGAACATAATAAAAAAAAAATTTACAATAAAAAAAATAAATAAAAAAAATCTTTGTTTCACTTGGCAAAAATTCACGGGGGATCCAGTAAACAAATCAATTCATAACAACTGTTATTATAAACCTCGTTAAATAAACATTCGGGTCATATTACGGAAAATTCGGTTAATTATGATACCGATCCGAATCTAATATAGCTATCTAGTAAGCCGAAATTCCATGTCGATTTTCTTTCTTATCTCAAATTACTTCTTCATTTCCAAATTTCCTAAAATTCTTAAAATTTTGTGCGTGTGCAAAAATCATGCTTATAGATTTACTTGGTCATATGCATTTAATTAGGTTATTTTAAAGAAAATTAAATAATAATAATAATAATAATAAAATATTGCACATAATGACACATCTTTTGTAGGTTGTCTAGTCGGTAACGCTAGGGATGTATAAACGGTTTATTCCATTTGATATCTATTAAATAATTCCCATGATCGGGATGTTTAGTGCACGTTATATAATTTTATTTTTTTATTCGTTGAGAGTGTTCAATTTGATTGGTCAAAAAAAAATACTATTAGTCATTTTAGTCAGATTCTTTCAACAATTACGTCATATCAATTTTTTACTGAAAATAGAAAACTGGAATGCCGTATATTAAACTTGATCAAAAACTTTTGATACTCTTTATTTGAAGATTTTTAAATAACAATTATAACTAAAATAAAAAAAAACAATAAAATATATAAATAGAAACTAGACAAGAATGTATTTGAAGAAGATTGTACTTCAGAAAAATTAATCTAGTCGAAATTATTCCACAAAAAAAAAAAAATATATATATAAAGTTTATTCGTTCTAAGTTTATATCAAGGAGTTATTGAGCAAAATTTGTAGTACGTAATTTCTGTTTTGAAATATACTTCTAATTAAATCGCACTTACTTATACTCATTCGAAATAATAACACGCTGCTATTACATTTCAATATCTCCCATCACATATTCTTCATATGACATTCCACTATATATATATATATAACATATATCATTCCATTAGAATCCGATTGTAAACTAAATAAACTACTTTCATTGTTTTAAATTACTTACATTACGTCGCTACCCGAGTCAGAAAATGTATCCAAGGGTTCTTCATCTTGTAAAGGTGCATTAATACTACAAAATAAACATTTTTTTTTTTTTAAAAAAAAAAAAGGTGATAAACATAACTATCAGAAAAAAAAAAATTTAATTTAATGTGTTACCTTAAACATTTTACAGCGAAAAACAATATTCGTTTTAATTTTTTATTGTAAAAGAAGAAATTGAATGACCATCTATAAAACAAAAATTGGGAAAAAAAGAATAATCAAGTAAGAAGATGAGCTTGTATGTACAGAGGCCCATGCAAATTTGAAGAAATTATCTGAAAAAGTATTCCAAAAAATATGAGTCATTTTTTTGTTACTTAACGAAAAATGATATTAATTTTACATACATAGCACCATCTTCCGCATTCGGGTCAGAATCATTATCGGGATTGAATGAGTAAACACTACATTCGTCTAACTCAATAATCTCATCTATTACCTTCCATAAAGCCAAATTATTGATTATATAAGCATGGCCTAAATTAAATAATGTATTGTTTATATAATTGCAAACCATAGGAACTGACTGATGTTTGGTGAATTGGTCGGGTTTAACGTCACTATAATAAACAAATAAAGGTAAGTTCAGGAAACAACAAATAAATCTATGTGTTAAACACGACATAAAGAGAAATACAAACGAAAAGTCATAATCAGGATAGGACGCGTTTAATGTTGCTATTAAATTAAATAACATCCTGCGAGAAGAAGGTTGATCCATTGGACCAAAAGGTGATATTATGTCGTGAAGAGAATGATTATGGTCAGGTGAAACACTTTCGGAAAGGTCTGAATTCCATTGACTTTCAAGATGCTTATAAAGTTTTTTGTCAACACCCGCAAGTTTGCCTGTAAAAGAGAAAAGAGAAAATACACTTGTTTAAAATGATTTTTTTTTTTTTTTTTTTGGACGATCAGATATGTCAAATATGACAGTGGAAATATGAAAGTCCCAAGTTGTTTTAAATGCATTAACCACTCCGTCACCCCCCATTTTTTACCCTACTTACAGGAGTAGGTCTCTATTCGACCCACAACCCTGCACTCAGGATTTTCAAATACCAACGCGGTATTAATGGGGTCGAGAGAAGCTATATCTAGAAATTTCATATTTTTAAACTTTTAAACTTTTGAAATCTATATTTACAAAAGACTGTATGTATATTATAAAATTAAAAAAATGGTTTAAAAGTTAGAAATATCTAACTTCGCTTAAAACGATTACAGTCAAACCCTTCTTTTAAAATGTACGAAGGGAGTTTTTTTTTCCTTTTTATACGTTAAAAGGAAGGAAAAAAAAAATTTCGGCAAACTTATAAAATAAGAAATAAAAGTAAAATTTATTAAAATAAGAAACAAAAGTAAAGTTACTAAGTATTAAAATAAGAAAGAATGAGAAAATCAGTTTGTTTTTTTGGTGGGAAAGGGATAGAACGGGGGAATTTTTATAAATAAATTCGCTAATCATATGATGCCTTAAACACCGCCCGATACTGCCTTTTTGATAGTTTTGTGAGACTTTGAATTAATTATGTTAAATACTATTAAATGCTAAATTAGGGTTAAACTTAAAACATAGTTCCTGATAAAGAAGTTCACCAGAATGATATCATGCATGTAAATCCTCACTTTTGTAGTAGAGAGGTGAATTTCAAAAAAAAACTGACAATGAACTACGAGAACTTGACTTTGTCGCTTTATGGGAAATTCTAGGCAAGTCTTCAAATTATTATTCTATTTTTCCTATTTTGATTCTTTTGTAGTTCTAAATATGCGATCTTGTATTATTTCTATTAGGAGAAAAATGGTTAACTGAATGCCATTTTTCATTCTTGGGTCTTGTTATAAAGCTAAAGGCCGTGTCTAAAGCTAATATAGAATAACAGGCACGGCGATTTCCATTTCGGGGTTAGATTGTAATAGTAGTTAAGATTATCTGAAGTTGTATCTAAGAGTCCGCTTTGTCTACAAAATTTTTTGATTTCACACGAAAAGTTCCGATTAATTGTTCAGATGATGTTCGAAAAATGTCCGGAAAATATTCCTTGTTTCACAACATAAAAATAGAAATAAAATAAAGAAATAAAGAAAGCCAAGAAAGCCTTTTGGAGTATATGATATATTTTGTACTTATTCTTTATCATTCGATTCTGATATTTGTGGGTTTTTTTTCAGTTGCAAGATTGTCCGTCAACTGAAAAAATGATCATTGCAGATCCTTCATAGATAATCCGCACGGGCATTTTGTGACTTAAATTACCACGGACCAGAAACTAAGTCGTCACACACTTACGTAATCAAAATACACGTTCATCAACGATGAATATTCTTTTTTTCAATACAAACTTAACAAATTTTTTGTGTGATTTATATTTTGTTAATTTGTTTCTATTGATCTTTATATTCTTGGCATTTTTAGTAACAATCATTTTAGTTCAATTTAGTTCGGAAAACTCTTTCTACTCTGTAAAAATTTGTCCGAATATTTCCATGATATCTCATGATATCTCTGTATATGATGAATAATTCTATGATAATTCCGTAAAATACATTTATAACAACAGATACGGGAATGCTATTTGTATGATAATACTGCATTATTATTTGGAACCTAGCAACCTAGCAGCCTATTTTGACCGAGAATCTCACCTGATGTGATATTAGAAGAATGTTGGGAAAATGCGGTCCTAAATTTGGAGTATTATAACTATTTCCATAACACAAATCTTTTAACCATGTACATGTAAATCAGGAAATTCAAACTATAAACAATGCAACCGAGATAATGGTATTTAGTTGGGCGTTAGAATTATGCAAGATATGCAAGATATGGTGAATGGAATAAAAATATTTAAGTTGTGATATGTCAAGCAATTTAACAACAACAAATTAGTGTTTTGCGTCAAAAAAGGAGGATTCTTAACTTATCGAATCTGTCGGATGTAAACCCGAGGGTGCAAACTGCAGACTGTACCCGTTTAGATTTGATTGGTTCAAATGTGGTACAGCTGACTGTATCATCAGCCACAAACTTTTGTGAAACATTTAGAATTAATTTTTCTAATAGATTGCCAGTATAATGAAAAGTCTAAAAATTTAGCTATCTATCAAGAAACTGAATGTTAATATCCTTTACAGTGGTTGAAAAAGTAATTGGAATTGCAACAAATGCAATAAATAAAAAACCAGTAATTAAAATTGCTTCAAATTTTGTAGATTTTTTTATTATTATTTGTATTGAAATTTCAGCTTTTTATCTTATTTTCTTATCTTACGGTAATTCAAAAAAAAAGGTCAAATATTTTATAACCTATAAAAATTCTGAAAATTTTGATACAGCATTTTAAATTATAGCTTATTAAAAGCTGAACAATTATAAATTAAAGTTTATATCATGTTAATTTTATTAAAAAAAAATTTCAGTTATTGAAAAAATTAAAATTAAAGTTTTTTTACTGTATTAATTATTGTAACTCTATTACAACTTGGCTCAACTTTTTTAATATTAGTAAAAAAAGCGAATAAAATTCAAAATTAAATTTAAATTATAATAATTATAAAGGTTATAAAGGATAAAAGAATTATAATAAAATCTATTTAATATTAAATTAATAATATTAAAAATATTTTGTTCCCTCTGTATAATATTAAAATTTTACATTTTATAATAAAAAAAGAAATTCTTAATATATAAACTTTTTAAAAATGTTTACTATATATATTTTTTCTTACTTTGCAAGTTTACTTAAAACATTAAAATGGATTAACTTTTTTTTCAGGTTTTTTTTGTTAAATTGCATAACATATTTAATTTTAGCTAGAATTAAATAATCAATATACAAATATACTTTTTTGAAATAATCTAAATTTACTTTGCTATTAAAATATTTAATTAAAATAAATTAAATATATTTAATTTTTATTAACTTTAATTTTAATTTATAATTAGGTGAATATAGCTCATAATAATTTGTTTGTATGGTATATGAACTTAATATCAATAAAGTATATATAGATAATAGATCATTAAAAAAAAAAAAAATTTTAATTTATAGAAAAATTAACTAATATAATACTTTTAAATTTTAATAAATCAATTACAGTTAATTTTTAATATTTAAATATAATATTAAATTTTAAATATATTAAAAATTACCAGTAATAATTATCATTGTAGCTAAAAATTATAATTTTAGCTAAAATTAAAAAAAGAAAATAACTATATTTAACTAGAAGAAAAATTTCTTTTCTCTATTATTTATTAGAATTAATTAAATTAAAATTATATTAGAATTAGGTTTATTTATTATAATAAATTACACTTTCATGATCTTTATTTTTATTAATTAATTTGAATTTTTTGTATTAAAAATCCTATTTATCATCTTTTATTTATTATAGGAGAAATTTATCTTTCAGTTAAAATTAGAAATTTTTTTTTAATAAAATATATTATAAATTTTTTTAAATATATAAAATAAATTTAAATAAATCTAAAATTTTTTTTATTTATAAAATCAAACTTTTCTGTTTAGTCAAAATTTAAAATACCAGTTTATAATTTAATCAGAATAACCAAATAATAAATATATTAACAAATATTAATTGTAGATTTGTAGTACAGTCAACTCCCTCTATAGTCACTCCCGTTATAGTCACATTCTACTATATAGTCACACCAGTTGAATGTTCAAAACACTTTATTATTAAAATCTATCCTATAT